AATTTGCTCGTTAAAAAGTCATGTGCAGATTAGGTATTACCAAGAAAAGGCTTTGAGAAAAATGTTCAGCAATGGGAGGAGTAGGTCGGGCATTATAGTTCTTCCCTGTGGGGTGGGTAAAACGTTGACAGGAATTACAGCTGCTAGTACTATAAAGAAGTCATCCCTTTTTTTAACCACGTCAGCGGTAGCTGTGGAGCAATGGAAAAAGCAGTTCGAAGATTTCACAAATATACATCCAAGGCATATAAGAATTTTGACTTCGGATTATAAATTCGATTTGTGGCCAATTAACGAAGCAGGGGTGTTAATTTCGACATACACCATGTTGGCATACTCAGGAAAAAGGAGCGAGCAAAGTTTGAAGATTGTAAATGACATAAGGCGAAGAGAGTGGGGATTACTCGTTTTTGACGAGGTGCAATTCGCCCCAGCACCATCATTTAGAAGAATAAACGATATAGTAAAATCGCATTGTAAACTGGGTCTAACAGCAACCCTGGTAAGGGAAGATTTGCTGATCAGGGATTTACAGTGGATTATTGGGCCCAAGTTGTACGAAGCCAACTGGGTTGAACTGCAAAACAAAGGATTCTTGGCGAAAGCTTTGTGCAAAGAAATATGGTGTAGTATGCCCAGCTCGTTCTATAAATACTATTTGAAGTCAAACAGCTTTATTAAGAGAAGACTCTACACTTGTAACCCTAGAAAGCTAATGATGTGTGAATATTTAATAAAATATCACGAACAGAATAATGATAAAATTATCGTTTTTAGTGACAACATCTTTGCCCTTTTGCACATCGCGAAAACTTTAAACAAGCCATTTATATATGGGAAGCTTTCTCCTATTGAAAGAATAGCAATCATCAACAAGTTTAAAAATGACTCCAATATTAATACAATTTTGTTGAGTAAAGTTGGAGATAACGCAATAGACATTCCTATTGCAAATGTTGTTATTCAAATATCTTTCAATTTTGCGTCGAGAAGACAGGAGGCTCAAAGATTAGGAAGAATTATTAGGCCAAAAAATAAAGCCAATGAGAAAAAAAATATTAACGACCCCGACTCCTTCTTTTACAGCCTGGTTAGTAAAGACACCATAGAAATGTGCTACTCTGATAAGAGGCAGAGGTTTCTCATCAACCAGGGCTATGCCTACAACGTCCTTAGTGACAACATTGTCGATTTTAATAAATTAAATTTGGTATACAAAAATAGAAAAATTCAGGAAAACTTGCTAAAGTGTATTTTGGCAAGCACGGACGATGGTAATAATGACGAAGATGACGACCTATTTGAGGACCCCAGTTATAAAAAAGATACTCCAAAGATGGGAAGTAAACCAAACATAGTTTCTTCACACGGCAAAAAGGATGACGCGCTGAAGAAGGTGAACAGTGGGGGCTTGCTAAAATTGTCTGCCAACATGGATGTAACCTTTAGTGACAAAAAAAAAACCTCGCAGAAGAAGTTCGCTGACAAGCACATTCTTTTTAGGAAGTTTCTAAATCAGAACAAGTAGCTCCGCTTGGGGGAACGGGCGCAGGAGGGGTTTTTCCCGTCGGACATTTTTTCCATCCAAGAAAAGGGAATACATGTGTGCATGTGTATGCCCACCCACGCATCGCTCTGTGTAATTTCCACAAACAGAAGAAGGAGAAGAAAAAGAAGAAGGAGAAAAAAAAAAAGAAGAAGAACGAATGGCTATTATTTGCCAAAGCAGAGGGGAGGTAGAAGCGGCTTGTGAATGTAAGTCCTCCACATTGCATGCTTATTTGGCGTAATTGGAGACAAATGAAGAATCGGCTTAGCAGCTTTGCGTCCGCGACATGTCCATATTCACAAATCTGTGAGGTGTGTCGCCACAAGAATGGACTAATGAAATGGTTTATATATATGTACGCAGGGTGTGGTAAAGATGCGTGTTCTCAACTCCGCGACGTGGCGGTACACCTTTGAGTCTTTCAAGGGGAAGAATAGTAAATTATTTGTAAACGCAAACACCACGGAGTGATGCGCATACAGGATAATCTCGTTTTATTTTCCTTTTGTTTTTCTCTTTCTGAATTTACACGAGGCTACTGTATATGTTTTTTTCCCGCTTTTTTTAAACTCCCCGAATTGCTTTATTTGGACGTGTTTGTTCATTTGTGAGTGTGTCTGTATGAGCATGATAGCAACATGGTGTTATCCGCACATTTGCTCATACTTAAAAGTGATCAAATTGGAAAAAAATGAAAAAAAAAATTTCATTCTTTGCTCATATTACTTTTTTTGTTCCAACCATTCGAAAAAAGTAGGACCCAAATGCTGGCTATGCTCGGTTGGTATGAACTACGTGGGATACGCCGCAAAAATATATCTTTGGATTTTCCTTATTCGCGGGGGTGTTGTAACTGTGTTACTATGCAACTGAGGTATGGTGTCACTTTACCGCTTTTTTTTTTTTTTTTTTTACCCTCGCCCACTTGTATTTGCGTTTGCATTTGCATCCCCTTGCTTTATTTTCATTGGGAATTAACAGCCACGTTATAAGGAATCCCACGTCGTGTGCCACACCATGGTGAGGGGGAATGGGATACTCTATACAAACACGTGCATAGTTCAAGTGTCCTCCCCGATGCCCACATGTGTTCATTCGAATGATATTGCTATTCCGAAGTTATGTTACCTTTGCGTGGCACAGATGATCCCATGTCGCCTTACCATTTTAACCCGCAACATGGATGAAGAGAACAGATTTTTGCAAAAAAAAGAAAAAAAGTGCAAACTGTTTTATAACGTTCGTACGATTAACCAGTTGTGATGGAAGGCCATTTTTTGCACTTGTTTTGATTTGAAGCGGAAGGTGAAAAAAAAGTTGACGCGGCCTTACAGTTGAGAGAAAATATTGCATACATTTGTGCACAAAAAAAAAAAAAAGAGAAGTATTATACAATTAATATGTATTGTTATCGCCAAAATTGTTGGAGAGCTTTTGCTAGCACTTCTACCCCCGGCATTCATATGGACGTGTACGCATATGTATAGCAAAATGTGATGGCGTTAAAAAAACGAAGTGGTTAATTAAAATCTACTGTTCGATGTTTTCCCTTTGGATAGAGCAACTTTTTTTTTTTTTTTACTATTAAAGAGGGACAAAAGAAAGAACAACGAAACATATGAACGAAAAAAGAAACCTCCAAAAGAGGAAAAATATCGAAAAAACAAAATTATAGAAAAGCTGCAAAATTTTATAACAGAATAAGGAAGAGAAAAAAAAAAAATACAAGTCAGGAAAAAAAAAAAAAAAAATTTAAGTATACCCTCTGGCATAATAGCTACATTTTTTACCATTAAAAGAAGAGATAAAGGAAAATGAGTTCCATCTATAGTGATGTTGTGCTCCTGGTTCAGTTTTCAAAGAAAGTAGAAAGTAGAACATTCGTTGAATACAATTCGTTGAAGTTGGCCCTGAATGGTTAGTAGCCGCAGAACGGATAGACTTGTAAAGACGCAGTTATAAGAACAAATAAACAAACAACTCATGGGATTAACAAGTTTTAACAGTTCCACGGGGATTGCGCTGTTAATCTGTGTGTGTAGCAGTCTAGTTAGGCGTGTATGCAGATATCCATGACTGCGTTGGTGTGCGTCTGCTCTAAGAATCATAAAAAGTTTCTGACGAATGCTGTATTTATACAAATGGGTGTATATGTACACTTTTTATTTTTTTTTTTTCTTTTTTTTTTGTCGCCAGGAATTTGCCAATTATACGAACAGGCCATAAAAGAGAATGACCCTACCGTACAAAGAATAACCTATAACATGAACGATTTGTTTTTGTACATTGACAACATACAAAAGATGACCTTGATGCTGTTAGTGTTAAGGAAAAAGGAGAAAAAAAAATGACTTGAGAGGAACGAGAATGAAAAAGAAATAGCCAATATGCCGCTCGCTCCTCATTCGCATAAACAGTTTTGTGAAGAACGAGATGGGAGAGCACTTCATCTCGCGCGATGGCTATTGAATGCGCGTTTGGAAAAATGCGTCCCTACATTTCTAAAGCTAAAATTTGTGTACGTTTTTTTTTTTTTTTTTTTTGCAGATTCCATCAGCCAACGTGGACGTACAAACCCCATGACAAGAAATGGATAAAACAAAAGCTGGTTGAGCATATAAAGGATCAAATAGGGCAATAAAATATGCCTCCATGTGTGTGTAAAGTAGGGCAGAAGATGGTTCACCTTGTGACGCCGCTATTCTGCGGTTCCACCGGTGTGATGGTCCCCCACTCGATGATGCACATTTTTCTGCATCACCTCGGTTCGCCAATCAAAACAGAAGAGAAAAAGAAAAAAAAAGAAAAAGGAGGAAAAGAAATCTAACAGTTCAAAGCATTTTTAGACTCCCTGGTCGTTCCTTTGTTTATAATGTATTCCCCAGTAAATACCCTCTGTACTTTTCTAGTGCATTTTTGTAGTCTTCATCCAGTTTATTCTTCAGTTGCTCTTTCCGTTCATTTGTCTATTCGGAAAGTGGAGCCGGGAGAAAAAGAAGGTGAAGACATGAAAATGGGAGGGGAGCAGGAGGGGGAGAGTAAAAAGAGGACAAAGAAAAGGTGAAAACGGAAAAGAGATGAGAAAAAGGAGAAAAGACGAAGTGGCGAAATCAACAGTTGTATACATTATTTATATGAAACATTTTGAGCAACGCTATCTGCAATACATTCTTCTCATACGTAGTGAAACATGCTTTATTCATCTGCCTTTTCC